ATGAGGAGATTCGATTGAGTTGCATATACTCAAACCAAGGCAAGGATATCTTGCTCTCATGTTCCAGTTTTGATTTATCATGTAGATAACTGCTTTGCCATGTGGCGCAGGAGGGCTGTTGTGTGTTTTCTCAAACTGCAGTAACTGTCACTAATTTGTGGTGTCCGTATTTATTCTTCTAGGTGGCATGGCAGGATTACAGTCAATGATGCGGCAGTTTCAACAGGGTGCTGCTGGAAACATGAAAGGCATGATGGGATTCAACAACATGTAAAAGAAGCCTTAATAAACTGACTTGATTAATCATACTTGCTGGAACACCACTAAAAGAGTCTCCTTACAGTGGAGGAGAGTATTAATGCAGCCAGTGATACTTCTAAAATTTAATTCTGAGAGTTTCTAGATTTGTTTCTAGAAAGTTGTTATATTTTTGCTTAAATTAGTTCCTTTCTGTTTAATTTTGATGTTACATGAAGAGTTCTAAAGTTAAAACGAAAATCATGTACAAACTTAATATTTAGAGGAACTTTTTAATTGCCTCAGATGGCAGCCGTTATATTTGTAAACAATCCAGATCTTTGGTTAATGCCAATATGTCACAAATATACTGTAAAATAAACTTACGTGGTTGTAAATGATGACTTTTAAAAGTTATGACTTTACTGGACTTCAGGGATAAGTTTCTAGCAAGGAAATAAGCATTTGACAGTGCTCACCTACCTCCAGTATCTATCAAAGTGCTGTTGATTGGCTTTTCCTTCCTTCTTTCCTTGATATAAGTTTTACTTTTGAGCTATTTTTGCCTAGTTGGGCACCTCCAAACTTCAAGGAGTTTTTTTGTTGTTTGTTTTAAAGCAACATCTCCATTCTCCTAGTTCTACACAGCAGAATCTGGAACCTTCTAAGATGGTAAACCTTCAACACCCTTCTAGAAATAAATGCTTAAATTTTGTTTCTTTAATTTTGCACAGTTTTAGAGGATTCCTCAGTAAATATTCTTTCACCTGGATTACTTCACGTAACCCTTTTGGTACTTTCTGACTCAAGATCCAACATCAAATCTAGGCTAAGATCTGATGTTACCAATGTATTTGAATTAACTTTTTGTATGAGGCCAGATGCTGGTCTGACTTTCAGGATCTACTGTCAGGGTGACATCTATGGGGGGAGGCTGAGAAGCTGATACGTGGCCCTTTTTGAGACCTGCACTGAATATTTGGCTAAATAATGAAATGGCTCTAATGGTAATTTCCAGAGATGGAAGGGATTGTTTCTTCCCTGCCCCCAAATGACCTCTGAAGTGCTGCTTCTGGGGGCAGGGAATCCCCAGGAACAGAATGGGGAGGGGGTGAGAAGTCTGCTGTAGGAGAGAAGAATCTGTAGTATATGATCACACCCTCTTATATCTAGGGGAACTCTCTTTTCGAGACAACTCAGTTCTCTCATACACAGCAATTTTCTTGAAGCTACTTATCCAGTTGTGTTTATCTACCATGTCTTGGAGAGGAGCGTTGTTTTTGTTTTCTCACTGTTCACTATGCACTAAACTATTGTTCAGCATTAATTGCCTCCTCAGTTTTCTAACATGATATGACATAAACTAGCCTAAGTGTTGTTTATGATACTACCCAATGGGTCATTCATAATTTGTGTTTGGTGAAAGAGACAGTGCATGTTGTCCTAAGCCATTTAGTGCTATATTAGTACCAAGATATGGAAGAAAGTTTTTTTACCCTGGAGTTGATATAATCACTAGCAGTGTTTGGAGGCATTGAAGTATAGGCTTTAAAAAGATTAAATCATTACTCTATAAACAGATGCATGTACTTGAACACTTTCATTTAGCTTTAAGGGTGATTTGCATAGAAAACTGCATTGTAAAGTAATTGCATGCTTCTAACATTGGAGAATGATGAGAGTAAATTATTGTGGATTTATACTACATTAAAATTTGTATAATCATGTATTCTTTGCAGCTCTGTAGAGCAGATGCGTGGCTTTGTGCCAGTTTACATAAAATCAAACTTAACAAAAAGAAGAATCATGATCAGAAACAGTTAGACTCTGTTCTATTAATCACAGTCAACAAAGTGGTGATACACAAATCGTCAAGTCCATTAACAGTGTCTCATTTCATTTCCCCCCCCCCCCGTTAATTGAAGTGTGCATGAGTTTTAACTAGAGAATCTAGCTGGTACTAGCCACTAGGCTATAGACAAAGTATTATAAGGACAGGCAATTAGCACTTCTTACCTTGTTTTAAATAAACTTTTAAATGTAACTTTTCATAAAACAAAAAGCAACTGTTAATTACATTGAGTCTGCAGAAACAGTTCCACATGACCTAAATGCTTGTTAGATTTGGAAATGCTCTGGGATACCTTAACCCAGCAGTCCCTGACCTTGTTGAACCTGTGGGCATTTTTGGAATTAAAAAAAAAATTAGATACCACCATAAAATGGCTGCTAAAAAGCTGGGGCTAGTCATACAATGTTGGGAGTTTCTAAGCCAAGCATCTTCCTGTGAGAGGCAACAGTTTCTGAATGGGTGTGTCTTGCAGTTATAGTTATGATTAGCACCTGGCCTGTTTTGAAGTACTTCCTGCTCTAATGAGGAAGAAGAAAACCACGATTGGCTTTTTGCTTTGGGGTAGAGATGTTTTAGGGAAGAAGAATGTAGGCATTATGGTGATCACTGGTATAATCTTCTCTTTCTTTGGGTGTGTTCAACTAGTCTTCCTATGAATCCCAATTTCATGCTGATGCCACGGAACAGCTGCTGCTACCCAATTAAAAACTGTCAAGTAGAAAAGCCTTTCTGTGATTCCACCACCTCTGGTAATAGATGGGATACAATTCACATTCTTTGATTTAGTAATGTATTTTAAGTAGCACAATGATTGTTCTGGATACTTGCTGTTGATCAGAATTTGCTTAAGCCAGGACAAAATAATAATCAAGTAACATTGATATTAATACACTGTTGTATACTACCTTCCTAAAATATGCTTGCTTCCTTCCCCTCAACTGGGATACTTTGTCCTGCCCCTTTTAACTGGTGCTTGAAAAAAGCAGCCGTGTGGGGGCTAAATGCATGAAGCCTGTTGCTTTTATTTTGTCACTAGGTGCCACATTCATACAATACAAGCATTAGAGTACTAGCATGCTGCTACTCTGGTAGGTGACGAGGAAGAAAAAGATGTCTCATGTTCACATCCAGGGAGGTAACATGTTAAAAAATGGTATCCAAAGATTTTTGTTCCTCAAGCCAGGTAATAACAGATCATACAACTAAACTGAGAGTGGACTAGGACTGCAGTTACTTCTGGTCCTTGTATTTCCAGAAGGGGACGTAACTGTTTCTGCTGGATATTGTAACTCTGCGTGCAAGAGAATCTGGGAGGGAAAGGGTTAAGGGAATGCTCTCTCTCTCTCTCTCTCTCTCTCAGCTACACTTGGCAGTTGACCCCACCCTCTCATCCATTAGATGCTGAGCCTCTTTGGCTGTTGCTTGCCTTTCTTTTTCATCATTATATAGCACCTCTCTTTTCTCTCTAACCTGGGCTTGGAGCTATAGCAAGTTAACCTTTTTGAAGTTAATTTGTTCACATTAAGTTAAATGTACCTACATGAATATGTCATGTAAGATGTGCTTCTATTTTTGTAAGTAAAATTTCTCTTACCACCACTGGAGTCAGATCATCTTTGTAATCTGTTTGAACAACATTTTCCCCTTAACCAGGAAATGTGGAGGATCAGGAATACTATGTAAAGCGTCTGTGATTTCGATGCATTTCTTTTTACATTTAAACCAATAGTTTATAATGGGGGGAATATGTAGCTTAGATTTACACAACACTTCCTGAGCTCAAAGGGAAGGAAGATGTTTGCAATTGACAGCTAGAGGGTCTTTTCTATTGTGCCCAGTTCAATTATTGTCCTCCTTCCCTTGAGTTCGTTTCTGTCTTACATTACCAGGGAAAGTTAAAAGTATGTTTGCTAACTTGTGACACTGAAGTCCTAAAACTACGTTTTACACTTTCCTAGTGTAACTGGACAGTAGTGTTATTAATAAGACATTGCCATTTTCCCACAATAAAAGTGTTCATCTGAAGAAACAGGTTGGATTACCTGCATAATGAGTGATCAAAGACTGCAAGAAAAATCACATCACTTATGAAGAGCTGAGGCCACACATGCATTTAATGAAGCAGACTATTGCGAAGGTGCAGTATTTTTGTAAAAGGTCTGTTAACTAGTTTCAAGTTTAAAACCTATTCATAATTACCTGGAAATAAGCACCACGGAACGTTGTGGCACTTACTTTTGAGTAGACATGCACAGGATTTCATGTCTACTTAGAGCAACCCCATAGGGTTTTCAAGGCAAGGGACTTACAGGGATCAACGCAGCTGTGAAGTGTATCAAGCAATGTAGCTGGCGCACAGGTGTAACATACAACTAAGATCAAAGGGTGTAACCATTTAATTCCTCGCCAGCGGGGCCCCCCCCCCCGCCGAAGACGAGTCAGTTCTTGAGACTTCCTCCAAAACCCCTCATATCGCACAAGGTTTCCCCCGCTGGGGAAGGATTCCGCTAGGATGGACAATACACTTTGTCCCAATGAACCCTGGGAATCGTAGTTTACTCGACCCCTAATCCCCGTTCTCAGAATGACCAATACTTGGGGTCCTCTGAGACGAAGCAACAAATATTGAATCCATTTAAAGTCTATAGTCTAGCAGGCTGAGTCCTGCCCACAAACCCTCGTATAAACTGACACCCGAGAACGGGCACCTCCTCCTTGAACCCAAGCCCAGCAAGAAGCTAGGCAGCACCAGAGCCACCTGCCCGGAGCCGGCGAGGCTCGTCTGCAAGGCGCCAGGGAAGCCGCCGGGCGTTGCTGCTGTGACGGGCCTCCGTCGTTCCCTTCTCTGCCTCTAGGGGGCCGCAGTGCACAGGTCCTGCCTGGTATCCGAGCAACACTGAGGCGGGGCGTGAGTGGCGGGGCGGCCTTTCTGTATGAGCTCACTTCCCAGGCCCTCCGCCTGCGAGGAGGGTGCGGGCCTGCTATGTCCGTCGCAGGCAGGCGCTGCTAGTTTCCCCTCCGGTTGAGTAGCGGGGAGTATGGAGCAGGGGCTGTCCGCTATTACCCTGTACTGCGCACCAGCTGCCACCGCCGCCACCTGCGCCATGGACCAGGAGCAGGTGAGTCCCTCGCGCCGGTTCTTGCCTGAGCCTCTCAGGAGGTGAGCTTGGCTGGTCTCCTCCTGCTGCATCCAAGCGAGTCTTTCGGCTGTGCCGTCTCTGCCCCAGCCGGCCGGCCCTGTCTAGGGAGGGACCCCGGCCGTCCCTTGCCTGGTGAAAGGGGGGGTGGGGGGGCGTTCCGCTGTGCGTGTTTTGTCTTTGCCACTTTATTGCCGTTTGTGGTCTCTGCTGCTGCGTTTGTACTCCTCTGAGGTTCTCTGCCTGTTCCTCTAACAGCGCGATCCTGAGTAGAGAGAGACCCTTTGGTTTCCATGGCCCTTACAAAGGTGTGGCGCTAATGACGATTGCACTGTAAGCGATCTTGCCTATATGCTGTTGTTTAAACAGCTAGATTCGATACGTTTTGACCCTTAGAAGCTCATACCCCGAAAATCTTGGTGTCGAAGGTGCTACCGGTCGCGAATCTAGCTGTTGCAGACCAACACGGCTACCATTTGAAACTATCTGTTGTTTACAGTATTCCTTAAAACCTGTTATTCTCCCCGACACCCACCTACCCACCCACCTACATGTCCATATGAAGTGTGTGTGTTGTCTGGCTTTCCTTCTTGTGTAGAGTTGGGGTTCTAAAAGCAGGTTCACAACATAAGGGGGAAACCCCATTCTCCTACTGTTTCTTTGCATTTCTTACTAGCCCATAATTCCCAATGGCTGTTGAGTCAGGGAAGAGATCCCTACTACTGTAGAATAATTAACTTTAGCTGTGTGTGCGCTTCGAAGTGATTCAACCTCTTTACAGTTTGGACAGAGTTTTATGGCAACACTGCTGGTAATTCTTTTGACCCCTCACCTGTTGGACTGGGCACCTCTCTTCAAAGGAAGAAGGTGCCCCATGGAAGTTATGGCATGGTTGATCTGAGTTTGAACAATGGAACAGTGTAAGCTCAAATTGCAGTTACCAGTAGTGTAATTATTTTATTCTTTAACCAGTGAAACTTCTTCATTTTGTGGGATAGTTCTCATGAATAGATTTGTGCTTCTTGCCCAACAGAATAGCTAGGCCATTGGATAAGGAAATGTTAATCCAGTAGGAAGTTGTGAATGTTTGCCTTGTATGCTATTCATTCTTTTCACAAATTCTGGGGTGGAGGCCTATTTCACAATACCCTATCACTCAGAAATGTCAGTATTGATAATTTAAAGTTTTACATCAGCGTTTTGTGCAAGTAAGCACATCAGTGGCCCAGTTTTTCATGTAAATATGAATCAATTTACAGATGCCATTTATTTAGTCTTATCATTATGCATATGGGCTTCCTTTGATATCATGTTTCCACATCACATGTATGTATGTGATCTGTCTTGATTTCTTTCGGCTCATCTTGTAAGCAAATACCTGTAACAATCAGTCTGTTCAATATTAAATGATGAAGGCAGGTTTTACTTTCAACTAATTGTGAACACTTGGCAGGGGAGGGGTATTGATATACAGCTGTCCTACGACATGTAAGTCTTTTAAAAAGGCTTCTAAAGCCGACAGTAGTTTATGTCAGCTGACCCGTCATAGGTTGTTATATTGACCAGAGAGCTTTAAATGTTCTTGCCCCCAGGAACTTTGGCAAATGTGTAATAATATAAATGTTTACGTTACAATTGTGAAGAGGGAGAAACATGAAATTGTAAGTACAGAAATGGGAAAAGAAAGTTAAATTGGTATTATGCAGTTTAACTTGCACTCCCTTGCACTAGGAGCAGACACAGGGGTCCCACATTTGTAATTTTTTTGAAATTTGTCTGTTACCATGCTGTGTAATGCTTGAGAGGCTACTGTTGTAAGATATTTGTAGAGGAAAATTGTTTTGTATTCTTCTGACTTCTGGTTCCAAAAGAACTGTAGATTTTCTGGGTAATGTTCATTCAGAGTTGTTATAACAAATGATTAAAACATAAAGGTCTCTATCCTTGAAAAACCCACCCACTCTGGTATAAAACAGTGGATTGGGGGAGAATGTTAATGGAGCAGGTTTGCTAGTATTAAAAACTCATGTAAACTTTTCTAGAAAGCTAGTAAATTAAATATATTTTATAGTAAATTCAAATGATTTCACTGTTGACTTGGCTTATATAGATTTATACTTCAGGGCCTCCTAAGAATATAACTCCAAAGCCACAAACAAAATAAGAACTAACTACAACTCCTCTTTATTTAACTTTGTTACAATTTCAGGAGTATTCTCTGTACTATAAATGTAAACTTTAGAATAAGGGATAAGTAAGAGTTAGGATAAATTTGTGGCCTATAACTTCCAGTAAACCATAGCAAATTTCTGTATTGCCTTAATTTTAACTTATTTGCTTACTTGAATTTATGCTTCATACTGTCTGGCAAGTAAAGGTTTCCTTCACAAAGCTAGTCAAATCCAATTCTAGGGGGTGGTGCTCATCTCCGTTTCCAAGCCGAAGAGCCCGCGCTGTCTGAAGACGTTTCTGTGGTCATGTGGCTGGCATGACTAAACACCAAGGTGCACCTTCCCACTGAAGCAGTACCTATTTATCTACTTGCAATTTCTTGCTTTTGAACTGCTAGGTTGGCAGGAGCTGGGGCCAGAGATGGGAGCTCACTCCGTCACATGGCACTAGGGCCTCGAACTGCCGAGCTACAGACAGAGTGAGTGCAGGTAGTCTGCAGCTTCAGCGTCTTAACCTCTGAGCTTACAATATTTTAATATTTCCTTCTTGTTGACTTCTCCTATTCCCTTTTTAAGCTTTAGTATACCATCAACAGTTTTCTTTTTTAAAGAGAGAATATGCCATTGCACGTTTGTTGTTTTTCCCCATCCAGATAAATAATTTTATATATACTGTCCACGGTTTCAAAATGTATCTGTTTTTCATCCTGATTCCCCAAGGCTTTCACTTAAATCAAGGCCTAGGGTTGATTTTGAATCAATAATATTTCCTCCCTCCTAGGATGTTTGCTATTTAAAACATATTGGGGAGGAAGAACTGGACCCTATTGTGTGTAGTAAGGATGTCTTTCCATTGTGATATCTAGAGCACCAATATTTTATTTGATTGTATTATATTGTTTTATCCTGTTTTTATCTGTTTTAATGTTGGCATTCATGCCATCTTGTTAGCTGCCCTGAGCCTTTGGGGAGGGCGGGGTATAAATCTAATGAATAAATAAATAAAATAAATTGTTACTGACCAGCCTCACAAATACTGGGATTAGGAGAAAGGGCTTCCAGGTCCACAGTATGATTTTTAGGCAGTTTTTTGTTTTTAAATTATTTATTTATTCATGTAAATTTCTACCACACCCTCCCAGCCAAGACTGTTCAGGGCGGCTTACATAAGATCAACACATAGTTTACAATAAAACATAAAATATAAATTAAATTAAAACAATTCTAAACCATTTAGACCACATAGTATGGTAAAGTGCTAGTGATATAAATTTCATAATGGCTGCTGTTGTGGTCCACATAGGACTCCTTAAACAACTTAAATACATTAGAATACAGCCAAACTCTCTTCCTGTACAGTCAAGGTCTTCTCTGAAGTAGTCAGTGGCTAATATATTCATAGATATTCAATATGGTCCACACAGGACTCCTTAAAAACTAAGCCCCACCATGAAGAAAGCGTACCCAACATAATTCCATTTCTGTTGAGCACAGGGGTCATTTCCTGCGGGAGCGCACAGGAGCTGAGCTCTTGCAGTAAGGAGCCCAAGGGGTGGGCACATGTAACAAGCCCCGCCCCCTGCTCCCAACAGCCCTCAGACGGGCCACGAGGAGCAGGAAGCAGCCAGGTAAGTTGCAGAGCCCCCCCCCGTCCCGTCTTCAGGTACAAGCTCTCTCTCCTCTGTGATGGCAGATCTGCACGTTCTCCCCCCCCCCCAATAGCTAGCAATCCAAAACAGTCCAGTGGAGCCTGAGCGGTTGGTGTTGCCTTCTGACACACTTCTGGTGATGTCAGGGGGTGTAGCATATGCAAATAGGTTATGCTAATGAGTTATGCTAATGAGCCCCGGCACCTCTTTTCTACGAAACAACCTGTGGTTGAGCATATATTATATATTTGAAACTGCATAACACTGAATCAGATCACTGGATCACCTAGCTCAGTACTGACTACTTCAGCTGGCATTGGCTCTCCAAGGTGTCGTATAACAAGCACTGAGAGATACCTCCTCTACCTAGATCTCTTTGACTGGCAATATCAGGGACTGATATATGTCATGTCCTCTTCCACTGAGCCTCAGACCCTCCCAAACCCAGCTAAATTGGAGCCATTACTCCATGTTCTCTTCAGTTTTATCATAATATCTTTGTCTGTCTGTTTTGAATCTGGGACCTCTTGTGTAATAAACAGGAGCTGTTCCATTGTGCTACAATTCCATTATTGTGTTTTGCTTCACTGCCTTTGCAACTATTCACGTGTTTGTTGTTACTTGACCTTTTCCAGTTTTCTGTTTCTTCTGGCCACAGTAATTGCCCCAACGTAACAACGTTAAATTTAATGTTAAATAATTACAAGAAATTTAAGAGACAGTCTTTCAAGTGATTAATTTAAAATTTAATGTATAGCACAACTGACTTTCAGATGCAGAACTTGAATAGTCAGGGAAGGTTACATTAGGCATCCCAATCCTGTTCAGCCATGACAGGTAATGACACTCAGTGGCTCAGAGCTACCTGTGGCTCTTCTGAGCACTGTTCCCGAATATGTTACTTACTCCATGTTTCAGGAAAGTGGGCAAGGTCCTTGCCTGATGGGGCTTGTGGTTGTCAGGTGGTTTCCACCTTGAAACAGCCATCACCACAAGAGCTGGTAAGCTGCTAATGTCTCTGAGAAGCCAGCCTCATGGCAGGGATGGAAATTAATTTGGCTCTTTAGGTTGATGGTAATTGCAAATACAATTACTGTGGGCTGCAGAGCGAGTGCAGCTGGTATAAACAGTGGCCTCTTTGTACAACAAAGGCTAGAGGCAGGTTTGTGCTAGCTCTCCTGGGTCTGAATGCTGCTTTATGGGAATGCCGGCATCCTGGCCAGTTCTTTATATCTGGCAGTGCTGCAGAAGGGGCAAGTAATGTTGGTTCTAGTATGCAGTAGAGGTGCTAGGTAAAGCATTAATTACTCCTTATACCTTTAACCAGGGGTCATTTCGTAGAAAAAGAGGTGCAGGAGCTCATTAGAATAACTCATTAGCATAACTTATTTGCATATGCCACACCCCCTGACATCACCAGAAGTGTGTCAGAAGGCAACACCCACTGCTCAGGCTCCACTGGACTGTTTTGGATTGCTAACTATTGGGGGGGGGGAATGCGCAGATCTGCACTCACAGAGGAGGGAGAGCTTGTACCTGAAGGCAGGCCGGGGGGGCCTCTGCAATTTACCTGGCTGCTTTTTGCTCCTCATGGCCCAACTGAGGGCTGCTGGGAGCAGGGGCTTGTTGCATGTGCTCGCCCCCTGGGCTCCTTACTGCCGGAGCTCCGCTCCTGTGTGCTCCTGCAGGAAATGACCCCTGCCTTTAACACAACAGTATTCTGCTGCACTGACAAAACTGTGTGTCCTTTAAAACTCGGGTCTATCGGGGAACTGGATGCTTACATGTTTCTGTAATCCTGAGCTGTATTATTGTGGGCATTTTTTTTTTTTTTTTGTAATCAACTATTTTACTTTAGTGGAATATTTTCCCCCTTGAGTGAAAAGGAGATACAGGTAAGCCTCTTAGTGGTTTCATCGTATGCCAGTTGCCGCTTACTAAATAGCCTCTACCTTGTTATGAGCACAGAGAAAATGTTGCCTGTGATATGGATACGATGGTAATAGTGATATTTCTCTGCATTTGTTTAGAACCTGGATTGGGTATGACCTGTATGAAAATTATTTCAGTTGTGGGTTTAATTTGTAACTTTTTGCCTCTTCATAACATGATTCTGTAAATTTACATAGAAAATTTATATATCTTCTGCAGCTTGGGGCACCTTACAAATTAAAATGTAATACAACAGCCTAAAATCATTCAAATTAAAAAAACTGTTCAGATCCAAGTAAGAACATAAAACCGGCACAAATCATTTAGTGACCTAAAACAAGTCTTGTAAAATAGTTTTTATGCTAGACACAGAATGTGAAAGCAAAAGATCAACCCTTCAATTAAATTAATTAAAAAAAGAAAGTTTTGAAAATACAGTATTACACATTATCCACTTTCTATGGAAACTTTACCTTTTTAAAAATTTCTACTTTCAGGATGTGTTTGGTGGGAGATACCAATTTTAGAAGTTAAGAAAGATAATTTGTAATGAGTGTGAGAGATTCTGATTTCTTTGGAAAGTATTTCCCTTTTCTTTTTATTCTCTGCATATTTTTGCATTTGATAGTTGCTTTTTCTATTACAGTTGCATGCAAATGGCGATAGAGGTTTTGAGAATGTGGAACTTGGAGTCTTAGGAAAAAAGAAGAAAATTCCAAGACGGGTCATTCACTTTGCAAGTGGAGAAACCATGGAAGAATACAGCACAGATGAAGAGGAAGATGAGCAGCAGGAGAAAAAAGATCTCTTGCCTTCTGTTGATCCAGTAGGTTATTTCCCTTGATGATATGTGATCTGTTTCTCAGTTTGTAATCTGTTCTGATTTTGTTCTGTTTTAACAAGTAAACAGAAGCAGTTATCATTATATTATATAAGTGAGAACCCACAAGGAAATTGCAGGAGCAGCCATTGCATTCCCTCCTCTTTTGATCCCTCCCCTCTCCCCCACCTCTTCTTTCTCTCTCTTGTTCTTCTTCCCCCAATGCCTGTCTTTCTCTAGTTATCTGTCCCCTAACTCCTGCTGTTACTCTTTCTCTTTCTTTCTGCTTCCCCTATGCCTCCTGAAACACACATTCACTCACTCTTGGACCCCAAAGCCCCTGTATCTCTCTCTCACACACACTCTGTTGTTCATTTCTGTTTCTTTTTGTTTGAAGTTCTTAATTTTTTCTGCAAACCTGGGGGGATTCCCCAAGTTGGTTAAAAATCTTATTTTTCTGTGAATGGGCCCAATCTGTGGTTATTGAAAGAATTTTATATCCCACCCTGCCCATGAATCTGCCCATGAATCTTAGACAACCAACTATTCTCTCAGCCACAAACAGCAATATGGGGATGTTAATTTCAATCAGCATTAATTGAAATATTTATACCCTGCCATTCCTCTTGCCTCTGCTTTGCAAAATCACAGTAGGAATTACTGAGAGAATAGAATATTCATAAACACTTGAAATGTGCAATAAGTCCAGTGTTACTATTCATAAAAGTAGAGTTAGGTGACACACTCTGACTGTTAACATGTTGGTTATTCTATATTGAATCTAGATTTAGTTTTTCACTGGACATGTTTTCTGACTCTGTTAAACTTTTCTAGTGTTGATAGTGATTGCTGAGATGACAGTTTGGTTCTAGTGAGTAATTAAACTGGAGGGGGAAAAAACCCTTCTGGTGTGCAGAGAAAGGGATACTTGCTTTCCTTTGTAGTGTACTCTGTATCCTAACTGACAGCAGTACCACTATATGATGTGTGTGAAACTTCTCAGTTCTGCAAGATCGGAGTTTTGGATATAGAACTGCCCCAGAGAAGAGACAGTTACAGGGCTCTGTTTTTGTGATGCTTTTGTAAAAATATTTGAATTGCAGGAAGTTTATAGCAGTCAAACATAAAACTACCGTAGGACATAATCTTCAGGATCCTTCCAATACCCTTATGTATTTGTTTAATCAGTCTCAAGAAGAAAATATTTTACTGCATACAACCAATTTTGCCTTAGATGTGTTCTGAAATACAAGGCCACAGCTTGGCATCCCTCTGAATAGCGGTTCTCCCTGAAAACAGGGAGAGGTGCTGTTGCTCTACATTGTGATGTAAGGAAGGTAGAGAGACATATATATTGCTGTGCAACTATTTTCGGAGCACATGGAGAAAAATTGTGTCCCTCTTCATTTTTGCAGGAGACTTCATTAACATTTTAAAGCAGTGTACCAAAATTAAATGTACCAAAATTACATAGTGTAACAAACATTTTAATGAAGATATAAAATGAAATACCTAAAGACTTATCTTATGTTGTTACGGTCTTCTTTGAGAGGAGAAACTGTCTTTTAATAACATCATCTGGAGAAGGATTGCAGTTACCTAGGGTGTCTTCTATGCATCCCAGCAGTATAAATGGTTTGCAGAAAAATAGGATCCCCAACTTTCTTGGCAAAAGTATAAGATTTCTTTGCAGACAAATAGTCCGTTTTCTGATAACCCCCCAGTTGATAGTTCATTATTCCAGTTGTAAATATTAAAAGGCATATTGTACAGACTAGCATTGCTGCTTAAATTTGCTTTGGTAAACTTACACATTAATATTTCTAATGGACATTCAGAATGTTAATATTTTGGAGCTCAGCTGTTACCAGGGTTTTTTTACAGCACCTCTTCCAAGATGTGCAGAATTTATAGTAAAATGTTTTAGTTCTTATCAGTACTCTGATTTTCAGTATAAATGCAGGTTTACTCCAGTATTCACAGTATTTGAAGCACGTACTAACCCATATCTATTTGTCGCTGTGGTCTTGTGTATCTCTTGTATTGCTGTCCTTTTTTCCTACTTATGTAGATTTGTGATCAGTCCTTCTTAATAGTAGTGCTGTAATAGAGAACAACCAAGGCTATGAGCTAAAGACTGGTGCATTTGGTGTCCTGTAATAAATCTAGATTTCCATTAATGGACCTTTAGATACTCCACACTTGGGGTGGGGGAGGTTTAAGTTATGTTCTGTTTCAGAAATTTCCCTGCAGACATGACGTGAATATTGGACCTCTGCAGTAATCTTATTAATTAAAAATAGTGCAAATTATGTCCAGAGCAGTACAATATAGTGAAAACCAGCTTTTTAGCCAGTTTTGGCTCCCAAAGCAGCTTAGTTCAAATAGACTAAAAAGGTATACATAACATATTATTCCTGGTGGAGGGAGGTGGGGATTTTTGCACTAAAAGAACTTCAAGGTTTGTTTTGTTGTATTTTTGTATTATTCTTGCTGTAGCTTGCAAACAATAAAAGCAAATTTCTTACAATAACATGGCATTTGATACTGCATACTTGCATAGCAGTGCTTTTTGGTTATACTAGTTCACATTTTGTCTGCTTTCACTGCTGAAAGATCCAGATAGATTCATATCTGTTAATGGAGTCTAAATATTAGACTTATTGTCTAGATTTCTGGCCACCCCGGTGTACACGTACATAGAGCTTGTCATATTATTTTAACGTAAGAAGCACGGTACATACTGGTATCTTGGTACTGTGGCTACTTGTTTGCTGGCCGTTTGGCTAAATCATTTGGTCTGTTCAGTGTTAATGGTTGCTGCTTTAAAAATTGAACTTTGACACATAGATTTCTAAAAGTCTGTTTCTTCTCACTTGTAACATCTGTTCCAGATCTCTTTAAGGCTGAACAAGCACAAAAATTGTGGCCATTAAAGTAGTTTCCAACATTGTACTTAATTAACAGGCATGGAGTGCTTTTGTGCCGAAAGAGCAGTTATTTTTCCCCTCTTTTCTTGGCAGGAAATTTTTTTCTGCCAAGACTCACACACGGTCTGTCTCTTTGCTTCCTGAGCTCAGGTTTTCACATACCAAGTAAACATGCACGAACCTATTTGTGTGCAAGCCAGAGGAGTGTTCAGACTGGAGCCCTGACCTGGATAGCCCAGGCTAGCCCGATCTTGTCAGATCTCGGAAGCTAAGCAGGATCGGCCTTGGCAGGTATTTGGAAGGGCCACCTCCAAGGAATACCAAAGTCATGACACAGAGGCAGGCAATGGCAAACCACCTCTGAAACATCTCTTGCCTTAAAAACAAGTCTCGCTCGCTACCTAATGGTGCATAATGCTAAAAGAGCTAGAACTTCTGTCTGCCAGACAAGCTTAGGATCTCCTGGCTATTCTACACACAAGGCCATGCAATAATTAATTAGTTCAGACTGTATGTGTTATTTCCGAATGTATTATTTGTATTTATTATTCATATCCCACCTTTCTCACTGAGACTCAAGGCAGATTACACAGTGTAAGTCAGTACAATGAATAGGATGAAGAGATATCGAATAAACAGTGTAATAGGACTAGGGTTGCAGAAATCTTAAACATGTGGGGGCCTTCCTGACCTCCTCAGACACACCATTCCATAGGGCAGGGGTGGCCAAACTTGCTTAACAGAACAGTCACATAAAATAAAATGAGATGTTTGAAAGCCGCCAGACATGAACAAATATTACACACATGTTTTTATTGAAAATATGCAAATTTGCTTTTTATTAGCATTAAATTAGACTATGTGAAAGATCCACATGCAGCTCCTGAGTTTGGCCACCCCACCATAGGGTGAGGACTACTGCAGAGAATGCATGTGTATGGGCATATTGATCTTGTCCATTTGCATGGGGACACCTATACAAGGCACTGTTCAGATGAGCGAATTTGTATGGTGGGGCATAGGAGGATAGGCAGTCCTGCACTTATGATAAGGGTCCAAGGTCACAAAGGGCTTTCTCTGTGATGGCCAGTACCTTAAATTGAACATGGTAACTAATGGGTAGCCAATGGAGTGACTGCAGGATGTGAGTAGTTTGAGTAACACAAGCTTTAGGTTGAATTCATTGGATAGTATTGAACAAAGCACCAGTAGAATGGGCTTGGAAACTTAGATTTTCCCCAGCGGTCCTCTTTTATTCCTGGGGAAATTATGCCTGGAATCTCATGACTTGAGTGGACAAAAAGCTTCATGGGTTGTGGGAACTTTCATAGCTCTTTGTTCATTTGGTTCAAAAGGAACTGTTGAGGAAGGGGAATGCAATGAAAAACTGCACGTGTTCAGCTGGTGGTTAGTTGGCTACAATAATGCATGTTCATTATTTCAAGCACAGGTGTTTGCAGTCCTGCATAGGAGGTAGTTCTGTACCTGTGGAGCACATACTGAAGTTGGCATGTGGGTGCTGTGGTCAACAGTGCACTCAAGATGTTTTGGGACTTTGGGATAAGTCATAAGAAATTTAGAAACCAATTTCATTCTTAATGCTCCTCAAGCTGTTGGGAGTGTTTTTCTTAATTATCTTACAGTTTTCTGTTTTTGTGGAGCACCTGCCTTTTGTACTTTCATCATCTGGGGAGAAAGATGTCTCATGTTGTGATTCACAGTTCTACAAATCAAAAACTATATAAGCCATGCCAGGAATATCAGCAATGGGTATATCTAGCAGTTCTCTGATAAGGATACCTTTGGCTATGTTTATGTGTGTTTTCTATGTTTTCTGAGTACCTCTAGTGCCTCTATGAATTATTATTTTATTTTGTTCATTTTTTGTCCCAGCCCCCCCTCCAAGGAGCTCAGGATGGCTTATATTGTTCTCCTTGCCTCTGTTTTATCCTCACACAACCACCTACCATCCCTGTGTGGTAGGTTAGACTGAGAGAGGGTGACTGGTCTGAGGTCACCCACTGACCTTCCATGGCAGAATGAGGATTCGGACTTGGGTCTCCCAGATCTAAGTCTGACACTCCATGCAGTATATTCTGCTGAGTTCAAGTATAAACATGGTGCATTGAGTGGAGAGGATTCTAGAACTTCATTCCTGCCTGACTACTCAGTCCTGTTGCACATTGTCAGAGGATGTATTTTATATTGTCAAATGTATAGCATAAATAAACAGTTAAATGTTTTACTTTTTTTGCAGGCATCACTTACATGGGGGCCTTACTTATGGTTTCATATGTTAAGAGTTGCCACATCAACACTCTCAGGTATTCATTTATTTCGTTTGTATATTGAGACCAGGGGTCCCCAACCTTGTTGAGCCCCTGGGCACCTTTGGAATTCTGAGACAAGGTGGTGGGCACAACCACAAACTGGCTGCCATGGGAGGTGGAACCAACCACAAGATGGTTACCATGAGAGATGGTGCCGCATACCCTCAGAGAAAGTCCAACTATATGGGTGATTTTAAAAATACACTGGGGAAAAGGAGTGAGAGACAGATTTAAAACCAACAGTGTAGTGGCAGCTGCCACCGAACCAACATTATTTTAATCTGTCAGATTTTCAGTGGCCAATCAGAAGCTGTGCTGCAAAAGAGCCCCATTTGGCCCCACCCACTTTCTGAAAACACTTGGCTGATGCCAGGTAAGGTGCCAGTAGGCACCATGTTGGGGACCCCAGATTTAACCATTTAAACATTGTGTCAAGTCAAATTTCATGAAGTGATGAATGTATATGAGTGTGTGTGTGTGTGTGGTGGTTTTATTTCATTTTTCCGTCCCTTTTAATGGATGTTGACATGCAAAAAGCTCCAGTCACATTTCATTCCTAAGCATCAGAAAGAAATAGAGGGGTGGCAGCTCCCATTTCTGCAAAGTAATGCAGCTTACTTAGGGGCTGGTCCACTTGTGATGCTTTCCTTTGGAAGCCCCATTGTTGCTGAGGCTGCCAGTGTGGCTCAGTGGCCAGGGGGCTTTCAAATGATGAGTTTCCCTATGTTTTTCCCTTCCCCGGTCCCTGTAGTGCCCAAACCTCCCACCACCACTAGGTTTTTTTTTTTTGAGGTTTTTAAACTTGTAATTGACACAGTGATACCTTGTTATATAGCTATGTTAATTTTAGAAAATCCTTAAAAAGCTCTGTGGTGGCACAGGGAAGGGTAAATGGCTGCTGCAGGGACTGGGGTAGAGAAAATGGCTGACATGTGGGATAAGAGAATCCAGACTTGCCTGTCTATCTGGCATCAATCCAGGCTTTGCTGAGATCTTTTCCAAAACTTTGAAGCAAAATAGGTTGTGAAAACCTACAGTGTGCAGGAATGTACTTTGATGCTTTGTGAAAGCAGGGAAAACCTCACTTTGCAACAGCATCTGGGCACCAAGTGGTTGTGCAGTCCCAGTTTGCGAAGTTCAGTGCCTACACTTCAACATAACCTAGTATGTTATAACATAACCCTCTTTCCAGTAAATAGGACAGGTGGGCTCCCATTCTAGCTGTATCTGAAGAAGTGAGCAGTGACTCACAAAAGCTCATACCCTGCCACATATTTTGTTAGTCTTTAAGGTGCTACTGGACTGTTTTGCTCTTTTCTACTACATAACCTAGTACAGTGATACTCAGAGGCTTGAAAGCAGCGTGTGCCTCTTTGACATGCACCATTCCCAAATATGGCACCTGCCCCATGGTTCAGGAAAATGGGCAAGGGTGTGGCCCAGTGGGGCTTGGTGTTGTAAGGTGCTTCCCACTTTGAGACAGCAGCTGCTGGAGGGTTTGGAGGATGGGTGAGTTGCAAGCCCTGTGCTATGGACAGAAGTAAAGGGCTTGGAATATCATGTGGATACAAGCACAGTTTTATATAATTGTATGTGTATGTTAGGTAGGGTGGCATTTAGGGCATACGCTAGTTGTGTGACTCTTCTGGTTTAAGTTAATTGCGAATGAGGCTTTCTGCAAACCCCAGAATTAGTACCAATGATCCAGTACAAGTGGGCTGTATGTTACTCTGAATGATTGTTTCAGGTACAGCCTTTATTTTCTACATTTTTCTTCTAATTTTACAAGTCGGTTACAAGATTCAGCATTATTATACCAAACTAGATTTCCAGTCCTTCTTTTACCGCTACCTACTTTCCTTTTTTTAAAAAAAAATGCTTGTCATGCAAATCTTTTTGAGTTACAGGGGAGCTGCAGGAGAAAATATGCAAGGAACTGTGCAGAATTTATAGGTTAGAGAAGATTAAAGAGACTTCAGAATACTTCTCAAAAAGATGCAAGAGAACTGTGTAGTGTAAATGAATTTAATTTGTGGGAAGATAGACTGGATTTGATTTTAAAAGCTTTCATTATAAAGGCAAGTTAGCCTGGGGTGGTGGCGGCGGGGCTTTATAAGCATTACATCCTTGCAAACTATCCCTTAATTTGAACTGAGTCTGCATTACTTCCTCTGCCTGCACAGCACATAGGTCTGTCCCCATGGACTGTCTAAATAACTTACTGTGTTATAATGGTGTAGGTATTAAGAACATAAGAAGAGCCGTGCTAGATCAGACCCAGCAATCCATCTAGTCTCCTTTCATGCAGTAGTCAACCAGTTGCCTTGGGTGCATAGAGGACCAGATAGTCCCCTGATGTTTCTTCTAGCACTGGCATTCAGAGATTTACTGCCTCTGTGCTTTTGGTTAACATTATCATATAAAATGGAGCTAAGATGATCTGGTTCATTTGCAGTCTAAGAAACTGAGGGGTGACATGATTGAGGTTTATAAGATTATGCATGGGAAAGAGCAGGTAGAGAAAGAGGTACTTTTCTCCCTTTCTCACAATACAAGAACTCGTGGGCACTCCATGAAATTGCTGAGCGGTCGGGTTAGAACGGATAAAAGGAAGTACTTCTTCACCCAAAGAGTGATTAACACTTGGAATTCACTGCCACAGGAAGTGGTGGCGGCTACAAGCATGGACGGCTTCAAAAGGGAATTAGATAAGCATATGGAGCAGAGGTCCATCAGTGGCTATTAGCCACAAGGTATAGATAGGGACTCTGGGGCAAGTGATGCTCTGTCATCTTGGTGCTTGGGGGGGTCAACAGTGGGTGGGCTTCTAATGTCCTGGCCCCACTGGTGGACCTCCTGATGGCACCAGTATTTCTGGCCACTGTGTGATACAGAGTGTTGGACTGGATGGTCCTTTGGCCTGATCCAACATTGGCATCTCTTATGTTCTTAAACGTTTCGACAATGGAACATTTCTGAAGTAGTTTTTAAAATATACTTCTGTGGCAGCTCCCAGCCTGGACAGACCTCTCTCTCTCAGATGTGGTCCATTCTGGTTTAAATTAGTTTTCAAAAGGGAAATTGTAATCTAAAGAGGTAATAGCTTTGCAACAGTGACCCTTGTGTGTATGTGTTTAAGGTGTGATTTACTGCAGGAAATTGCACTCCTTAGTCTTGCTTAAATATTCATACATTTGTTTATTCAGTGTGTGACTTCCTTGGGGAAAAGATCGCCTCTGTCTTGGGAATCAGTACACCAAAATACCAGTACGCCATAGATGAATATTACAGGATGAAAAAAGAGGTGTGTGTCTCTGTACATTTTGTCAGTATTGGCATTGTCAACACGTTAGCCTGATATTTTAAATATGTATTTTAAAGTGGCATGTTTCAGCTTCTCCTCTCATTCTGCCACAGCACTAAGTTATGTTGACTATCCCCTTAGTCCCTTTGTCAGGATAAGTTTTTTTTTAATGGGGAACTTGGAGGAAAGTAATGCCAGGCAGGGTGTCTATAGGAGAAGCTACATTTATATATGCTTTTCGGTTTATTCTCCTTTGACAGTGTGTCTTACAGAAAAGACACTGCATTTTCTATTCAGCTCCTTTTGACTAAAGTAATCTCATCTTTCTTCGTCAGTATATTTATTTGAGTAACTTAGGTGTCAGCTGTTGTCTCTGTAATCTTCCTTTATTCTTTATTCTGTTTATATCCTGCTTTTCTCCCCATGGGAGACCAAAATTGGTTGAACAATCAAGAGAAAATATACAACAGAAGAACCAAGAAAAGGGGGCAGAGGCTTCTGAATGCCCAGCAGGCCTTCTCTCTCTGCTAGCTGACCTTCTACCCAGCTCAAGGCTCCAACTCTCAGGCTGAGCTGAAGCATAAGAGCCTTTGCTGGCATTTGCCTTTTGAGACACACGCAGCCCTTAAATCCTTGTGTGTGGAGAGCAGACTCAGAATGTTAGTATCAGCATCTTCCCCAGTTCCTCTTCTACCAGAATTTAGAAGAAATTGATTGGATATAATGACTTCTTTCAGTGTGGAGAAAGACTTATTTCAGTGGACTTGGGGTTAATATGACATTATGGGCACAAATAAAGTTAAAAGCACACATAGTTTTTAGGAATTGGACTTGATATGAATATTGTAGGAGAAACTGCAGTGAGTCCAGGTTTTACATTGTGTGGATTTTTTTAAAGGAGGAAGAGGAGGAAGAAGAGAACAAAATGTCTGAGGAAGCAGAAAGAAGGTATCAGGAGGCACAGAACCAGGTGCAGGAAGGGAATGCTATTCAGACTGATCAGCCAGAGGCTGCAACCTGTAATACTTTTGTCAATCTAAACTTTGAAACTGAAGGTGACTGCCCACCTGTTGTGGAAAGTAAACAGGACATCACTCCAGTGTCTGCTTAGAATGAAAAAACATTGCATAATAATTCCATGTTACTTAATTTGTCAAAGTTTGTAGGTCTGTCTTATGCATGTTCAGTGGGATGTAATTTATTTAAAAGTATGGGGGGGATTAATAATGTCTCTTCAGTCACCATCTGTCTAAAAAAGGCTAAGACGTTTTGCTTAACCTGTCTATTAGATTGTAACATGAAATTAATTTGGTCCTAAACTAACTTCTATCTATGCAGAACAAGTAAAATGTCTTTTTTTCTGAACATCTGGTGCCTTGTTGACAGGTGTGGACAGATAACTGTGCTTCTTTGTGTCTTCAGGTTGATTTTTTATTTGTAAATGAAACCTTGGTGGAAGACTGCTAGACTAAATAGAACTAACTCACAAGGCATCTTTGTGACTTAGTTTAATTACCACTATTGCATGTGTTTTCAGTCATACAGTTCATACCAACGTGGCTTTGTTTAGTACCTGTTAAACTGTTTTCTAGATGACTTTATCTTACAATTTTGTTGTCTTGTAAATGACTGCCCTATTATTGGTTTTCCTAAAGCATACTGTTACCACTTAGTAGAAAGAAATTTAATGTACAGTCAGCTGAATATGTAAATGCTGGCTTTATTAATTGTGCTGAGAAGAAAACTCAGCTGAGACTCCAGCATTCAAAAGCTTTGACAATTTATCTCTACTTTGTAAGATTCTGGAACAGGTGCTAAACTTGCTGAAAACTGGGAGTGAAAAGTGTTTTTTTTTAAGTATTCTTCATGATGCTGGGCTAAGGTCTGCTAAATTCGTTACTGGTGTTACACTTCTGCAGTACTCTTGCCTAAGCTTAAAAACCAGGCTAAATTGGTGATAGGAATTTATTTTTTTTGTATTTAAATAAGATCTATCTATTATGGCAATAGAGAGCAGTTTTCTAGTTGACAAGGTATTCTAGCTCTAGTACACGGAAACACTTTCTCCAAGACAATCCTTAACTAATTTTCACCAAACAGCCACAGGACAAATGTTTATAAGTATATACAGCAGGATGCAGAAGGCCTTCATAAAAAATTATGACTGAACTGTTTGTGTCCTGGCTTTCGGTGGGTGGACTGAACTTTTGTTTCTTTAAAACACACTTAATGAATTTTAATTTTGTCTTGAGTCCTTTTACTAAAAACCTATGCACTTGTATAAAACAAGAAGGGTTAGGAGGCAGCAGCACAACACACACCCATACTGTTCTTCAGTGCCTGGGAGAACCAAAAAGACATGTGGATAAATATGGAAAGGCAGAGAACACACAAAATTATTGTCATCGTTTTCAGGCAGGTGCTCAGAGGAGGAGTACTTTGAGAAGTTTTGCTTAATTTGAGAATGTTACAATAGCTTTAACTAAAGATAGCTGCAACTATTTTATTTAATTCTAAAGTTTGCATCCCTCTTTGACTAGAGAATCATGCTTGTTTCATGTCAGCCTTAAACTATATATGTCAAGTCTGTGTTTAATATCTTTGTAGAGTGACAAGCCTGAGGCATCACAGTTAAGAACTGAGTATTTTGATTGCCCAGATCTAGAATATTTAAGCTAGCCAAAATGTGCTTCCCACATGGAATGGAGATGGGCTCACTGTCATGGAATTACTCTAGTCAGCTGTGCCTTACCTTTAATATTTCTTTTGTGTATGCAAATGGTACAGAAGTGTTTCTTGTAAATGCATTAAAATTTTATATTTAATATAATTTTAAACAACCGTTGCTAAGAGTCATTCTTATAGTGCAGGCAAAATGCTGTTTGAAATACGCAGAGAATGATGTCGGAGTTGTTCTAAGCCAACAGATGACAGCACACAGTAGAGTCAAAAGGTATTTTACTTTTAACTGAGGGTAGTTGGTGGTTTTTCTGAAATGTTATATATTCACTATACCCATCCTTACAAATACTGTAGAAACCCAGGTATGACTCCAAGCCCTGTATATGTAAGATCTTGCAGCACTGAATAAATGAAAAGTTAATATAGTCATTATGAGTGTTTGGACTGACCATAACTGATTACTATGCCAGCCTCTTGACACTTGTGATTTCTTTCGAATTAAGCTGTAAGCTGCCTGACCTGGATGGCCCAGGCTAGCCTGACTTTGTCAGCACTCAGAAGCTAAGCAGGGTCCCATTGGTCCCCCAGTGGAGGGACCAGGATCCCAGTCCCCATTGTTGTCCAGGACTCAAGCTCAGGAGTGCGCGCTGGCCCCCGGTGGTGGTCAGCGGACACAACACAGGGTCAGCCCTGGTTAGTATTTGGATGGGAGAACACCAAGGGAAGTCCAGGGTTGCTATTCAGAGGCAGGTAACCACCTCCAAACATCTCCTGCCTGGAAAACCCCATGAATGTTGCCATAAATTGACTATAGCTTGATGCCACCTTCCACCACCACAGGCTGTATGCTTGGTAATTCAGTGAATTTATATCTCTGGTATTAGATACAAATAAGAGTTGCAGACTGCCTGTTTCTTGTAGGAGAAGCCAATCTTTGTGTAGCAACAGTTTAAGAGATAGAGAATTAGGTATTGTTCTAGACCACAACAATATTCAAGATACAGTTTGTCTTAACTGAAACGTAGCTTGCTACTCCCCCATTCAGGAAATAATTCAATAGACTTCCGGTTGATGGCGGCGCGCTAGCAGACTCACCTCCTGGACCTCCCGGGGGTGAAGCTGCGCTCCAGCAGAAGGAGGGGGTGTGCAGGATCGTCACCCCCCCCCAGGGACCCAGTTGAAGGGGCTCTGGCCATGGGACTTTTTAGAGGTTGCCTCTTCGCCGGCGCGATGCCAGGGAATTGAGGCGCTTCTCCGTCCTGACGGTTCTTCATGCTGTGAGACCGAATGGAACCAAGTGATACTGACCGGGGCAAGCGCAGGAGGTCGAGCGAAAGAAACAGAGCTAAAATGGGGTCTACGGACCAATTATGAACGTGAGTTCAACTAAAGCGATCGGTTAAAGTGAAAAGAAAGCTCCCCACCCACGCGGAACAGAAAGTGAGGCGAGCGGGGGAGGGACGGCTCCTATGAGCATAAACTTTTAAGCGAATTGGAGGGGGGGAGCAGAAGAGAAAGCAGTTATAACTGTTGAGAGAGACTTACCAAGGCGAGCTTGAGTGTTTAAGCGCATATTCAGAGACTTTTAAAACTTTTGCAAAAGTAAACAACCCAAAAAGATGGCGGGGAAGAGGACAGAGAAAGAGAAACTGTTAAAAGCAAAAGGAACCGAGAGTCCAAGGCCGGAAGCAACCAATGAGCTGGCAAAGACATTGGCGGAATCCATGTGCCCCCTGCTGGATCAGATGAATAATCTCAGGGAGCAGCTGGCAACAATGAACCAATGTATCTCACCACCCAGCAAACACAGTTGAATGAGACTCTTAAAATGATGAATCAAACAGCTGAGAAGGTGAAGGAAGTGGACGCCACTGCCCAAAGGGTGAAGAAGAAAGTACAAAACCTGGAAAAGAAGCAAATCTCCACAGAACAGCTTTTTACAGCTACAAATGGAAAAAGCTAATTTGATTCTTCACTTCCAGGGCATTCCAGAAACTAAGGGAGAGAATCTGAAGGAAATGATGAGTGAATTACTGGCCCCAGTGACAGATATGAAGGCGGAATCTTTGCAGTCATATTCCGGATATATAAAGAAAAATAATCTGCCTGGGGAAATAGTGATAAGATGCTCAAAGAGGCATGTGAGGGATGCAATCCTGAAAGCGGCATCTGGCACACCTGTGAAAGTTAGAGAAAACACTATCAGAATTTTAAAAGACATTCCATTTGAAATAAGACAAAGGAGAAAGAAGTACAAAGATTTAATTCTTTTTCGCCAGACAAATGCAATCGGATACAGATGGCTAACTCCAGAGGGCGTAACCTTCAAAATTAAGGATAAAAAGGAAAAGATTGACTCTGTTCAGAAAGCACGGGAATTTTTAAGAGCCCAGCTGGGAGAGCCAGGGGAGTAAGAAAAAAAAGGGATGGACAGCAGGTCCAGTGGCAAGCTGGACTTGGGGTCTTCCGGAGAAGATTCTCTATCAGAGAAAGGGGCAGCAGCCCCCAAAAGTCCTTACAAACTGTGAAAGAGACTGGGCAAGGGAAAAGGAAAACTGAAGGTCTCTGAACTGTGCTTTTGAAATTACTGGAACTAGATGCTTAGGGATCTCTCTTGTAACAGTTAAAATTAAGCATTGAAAAAGATAATACTATACTTGACTTAGTTCATAATGGGACTAGTGTGCTAACGTATGTGTAAGCTGAGTTGATGACCTCCTCTCTTGGGTTTTTAGTCAGTAGTGGGTACCTTTATCCTTATGTCATCCCCTTCCCTATTTTCTGTTATAGTTTGTAGTGTTAATAAAAATGCAATAAAAAATCCCCTCCGGGGGGCATAAAAAAAAGAAATAATTCAATAAAGATTTGCTAGTCAACTCAACTTTAATTAAAACAAGACATTAGTTGCTGGAGACATTTGGGGGACAGTTCAGATAACATTCATTATACAGTCCTTGAACAAAGCTTTAGTTTAGCCCATCTGGGGCTGCATGGTAGCTTTATTGATTTGGGTAATGAATATCTTTAGTTCCAAATGGTCACAGTAACAGTTGGGTATATCTCCATGGATACAGTCTTCTCCTGTTAAATCATGTATCATCCAGATCTGTTGTGTTGTCATTATCACTTGCTACAAGAACCTCTCTGTTCTCATAAGTCCAGAAGCCATTAAGATCAATTAAAATGCTAGTGACAGTGTCTCCTTGGCTACTGTTGATTAAGTCCTGAAGGGAGATCTTGTAAGGATTCTTTGGCTTCACCATATCAAATATTTCATCCTAGAAAACAAAAGAATTAGCATAATTATTCAGATTATAAACTTGACACACCACTAAAGAATTGGTTATTTAACAAAATAAGTGAGAAAACAAAATTTTACTTCCACTTTTAATATATTGCTGGTCAGAGCAAGAAATACAGAATGACCTTACTGAAAAGGAATATGAAACTACACAGTTCAAGAGTACATTTACACTTGTCTTCAAGTAATAGCTTACTCTTGCAGTAAAAACCGTAATGCTGGCATGTACTGTAGGAGCTTGTTAGATGAATAGGAAGGATGAAAATAGGGCCTTGTTTCCAGAGCCCAGGCTAAGCCACAGTGGCTATTGGTCATACTACTGTCTTCAGAGGGGGCATATCTTTCAAAGTCTATTATAGTCTATAAAATACTAAAGAAGTATATACAGCCCCATAGCCAGGATTTTGTGGCTTGTGGGGCAAAAAAACTCCTGGTGGAACTAAAGACTAGGAACCGGAAGCTACTTGCTGTTGCTTCAGATGTGCTGTCTATATCTTCTGTTCTACAGCAATACTATCGGATGCTGTGCCCTTTAAAAATGTTTTTAAAATAATTTTTAAAAAATCTTCAGAAAGAAATCTTGTGGGGCTGGCCCTTTAAGGAAGGGGACAGAGCTCCCAATAGCCCCACTGTAGCTTCAGGTTAGAGTATACATTACAGTCACACTGAATCATTCCACAGCCAGCTGTCCCCAAGTTGTCTCTGTATACTTAGTGAGTTGGGCAAGGTTTTATTGTATGTTGCCACAGATCCTCCCCCCCCAATGCATTTGCAATGAAACTTACTCTGTACATCATTTAAGAACATAAATGCCAATGTTGGATCAGGCCAAAGGCCCATCCAGTCCAACACTCTGTATCACACAGTGCCCAGAAATACCAGTGCCATCAGGAGGTCCAGCAGTGGGGCCAGGACATTAGAAGCCCTCCCACTGTGGACCCCCCCAAGCTGGAAGATGAGGTAGTACAGTACAGCAGCTTCGTTTAAAGCAAGCTGCTTTAAATAGCTCAATGTGGCAACACCCAAGGTGGCAGGAAAACCATTTGTCTGGAAATAGCAGAAAAATATAGTCCCATGAAGAAAAAGCAGCTTGATGCAAATAGTGATATTAACATATTACCTGCCACCTTGGAGAGTATTTGATGAGGCCTCTGGTAGCAGTTATGTGCTCTGGCCCTCAGCCTCAACTACCCAAAATGTACTGTGCTGTATTCAGTGACCATTCGCTGATGGTGGAGCTTTTCTTTACCATAAGTGGTTACTTATGCCACAGGAATGAGATGTAAATTAAAACATGTCAACTGGTTACAACTGACCAGGACCACTGATGGAAAGCAGAGGGAATGATGGACAGTGCTCTGCTACCCACCAGTTTTTGCAGCATCAGCTGCCATTTTGCTAATTAGCACTGGCCTTTATAAAGAAGTTGCTTCATGCGCTGATAATGTCAACTTAAACAATATTGCAAAAAGAAAGGTTTACTGGACCGTAAATCTTTGTCTCAGCAAGCAAGTTATTAATACTACTACTAATAATAATTTATTTTAAGTTCTTGGATACTAAAAACTGTGACTCTTCTGGTAGAGTAACTTAAAACTCCAGAATCCTCCTGTTCAAGACTTTATCTGCCCTAGGGAGATGGCTGGGTGATAACATTTTAGAAGTGCAGGTATACAGAAAAAATACTGATAAGTACCATTAAGTATGTTTCAAATATCTCTTTTATTGAAACTAGCAGCCAGGATAGCCCAGCTTGGCCTCAGCTTGTCAGTGCTTGGAATCTAAGTAGGGTTGGCCAACAACCAATACTTGGATGGGAGACCACCAAGTAAGACTGAGGTTGCTGTGTGGAGGAAGGCACTGGCAAACCACCTCTGCTCCTCTCTTGCTTGGAATGCTCCTGTGGATGGGGTCACCAGTTGCAACTCAATGATACATTCTTCTTTAGTTAAACTGAAATAGCATGTTATCAGTTTGCTGCTAACATAAACATTTTAAGGCTACAGTTGCTGTCACATTTTAAAAAGTAATTTTAATGTCTACTAACTACCATATACATAAATATATTTTTACTAGGAATACGGCCTGTTGTGGA